AAATCTCTCTCTCTCTCTCTCTCTCTCTCTCGCTCTCTCTCTCTCTCTATACTTACATGTAACTGTGTGCATGAATGTTTATGATTGATTTGAATTGCTATGCCAGTGATAGAAACTGTAGTTGATGTTCCTTTGATACTGAATTTGCTTCGAAAGCTCAATTTTTTTTTAAGATCATCTCATCTGTGTTCATTTGTTTTGGATTAATGGGAATTTTTATGCTGGTAACTCTGCCAATGCATCACTGTGGGTAATTGGCTAAATGGTTTGGATATTTTTGTATCAATTGATTGGGGTTGATATGAAGGGGTTGGTTTGTTAATTATTTTTTAGTAGCATTTTTTAGATAAAAGCGAGAGGACAAATGTTGACCAAGTCTGTTTTGGTGCTGTCTGCCTGTAGATGCTTTGAGAGGACAAAAAATCATTAACTTCTTTGATGAATCAGTTTTGCAAATTTAATTATACATGTTTTGGTTGGCAGGTCTTTAAGCATTATTTTGAAGAGTTAGAAGAGGAACCACTTAGACATAACTTTGTTGTAGTGGTAAGTTAATTTATCAATTCTTTTTTCTATCAAGGTCTTTTGTTTTGATTGTGATACTAATAATTGTTTGGAAGAAGCTTTACTGATGCTTTTTCATTTGGTAGTACGAACTACTTGATGAGATGATGGACTTTGGCTACCCTCAATACACTGAAGCAAAGATTCTAAGTGAATTTATTAAGACCGATGCTTATAGGATGGAAGTGACACAGAGGCCACCTATGGCTGTGACAAATGCTGTGTCTTGGCGCAGTGACGACATAAATTATAAAAAGAATGAAGTACGTGTATTGTATATTCTTTTATTGCATCTCTTCTGGATCAAGCTATTTGCAGACTCACTTGAATTGTCTGGTTTTCTTTTTCTTTTTTTCTTTAAAGGTGTAGAATTGTATATTCTTTTATTGCATCTTTCATATCCTGCTTGAGTGGAAAGTAATGCTGTGAACTACTCCATATATGTGTGGTTAATTTATTTTTTTTCTTAAAGAAAAGCCAAAAATCTTGATTTCTTTTTTGTTTTCATTGATCAGTTTGACAAATCTTATAAACATGTGTCTTGTTTTGTTTAGTTTGTGTGGAGGCAGAGGAGGAGGGCCTTTTGTGATTAGCTCCATTACATTTGATGTGGCTCATTTGAAGAGAGTGTAATAGGAAGACCTTTTGAGGAGTTGAACAACCCCTTTATAGGCTTGAGAGGTTCTTTTTGTTGGTATAGTTAGATTTAGGGAAGGTTATACTTGACATGGATAATTTCGTCGGCTTGGTGGATTCTCTTCATTTGTAGGAACGAAGTACATTGTGACCCTAGTTTTACAATACTTATTTATTAATGACTAAAGTAAACAAACCCAGATCCTTTAAATATATATATTTTAATAATATTGTGGATGTCTAGAGCTTGATGTTTTTGTTTTGCCTTTTTAGTTACAAAATTTTGACAGGTGATAGACTTCCCATATTTCTATAAGCTTAAGGAATTTTGACCAATTAGAATATTCTAGAGCTAACAAAGACTCCACAAAATAAAACTTAAACTAACCCTAAACACGATAACATAATACTTTATGTGAAATTCAGATTTACCTTCTCTTTTTTTTTTTTCCCATCTTGTCATCACTGATCCAAAACCCACCATTGCTGCCTCTAATATTAATTACATGATTCTAATAAGATTTTTATTTGCTTGTTTGTTTGTTTTGTGTGTGTTTTTCTTTACATTTATTTTTGATCAAGTTGTTTTATAATCGAAGTTATTGTGATGTGGGGTTTCTCTATGAGTTTTAATATGATTGCCTAAACTCAACTCCGAATGAAGAAATTATGATGTGGCTTTTGTGAAATTCTATTGTGTTGAAGATGGAAATTATTCTTATCTCTGGGCATTCATTTCATGTGTAGATTAGATATAAAAGCTGCTTCTGCAGTAACTTATTATACTGATAAACGGAAATTGTTTGTCTCCCTAAGTACTTATTAAGATATATTGTAGAAACTATTTTCTGTGCACTACCATAGTCACAAAGATAACCTCATGGTGGTTTTAACATCACTTGATTACGGTTTATCTTTTTCATTGATTTCAGGTTCATGGTTTATGTATAAACATGTTTTTCCCCCCTCTCCCACTAATGACATGATAACGACATCTATTGAAGTGTCTATTTTGAGTTATATTTTTACTCTAATGGAGTTGGCTATCTTATCGATTTTGAGTTCGAACAAGTGTTTACTCTATGCTTTCTTTGCCCCTTTCCATGGAGGCCAAATCTGGGAGTATGCCTTGTTTGGCACTTATTCGCTGGTGGTAAGTGGATTTATTTGATTTGAATTATGGGCTTGCGCTTTTAGCATTTATTTTTTCAATAGCATTTGGAAAATGAATAGTTGATCTGGGAATTAGTTCTTATGAATTCCATCTATTTTATACAAGAAAAGCAAGACCTATTTATACAAGTTTTATAATTCCTTTTTGCATGCTTCCTTTTTTAAGGGGGGGAAAAAAAAGAAAGAATGAAGAGAAATTAATCATGACATACTTTTTCATGAAATAGTTTGACGGTTCAATTCTCATTCATCTTGTGCTTTCTTTTGTGTTATTATGTTAATAGTGCCAACTACTGCTATCATATCATATTTACACAACTTCATTATTATGATTATTACTATTTTTTTGGGGGTGGAAGGAGGAGCTATGAAAATCATGATGACATGTAAAGGACATGAAACTAATTGGATTCAAATTTGGGTCCGTCTGGAAAGGAGATAGGAGGACCATAGGCCACTAGGATGTCTCCTTTGGAATGATACTTCTTCACTCAACAACCAAAGAACTCCAGATTAAAAAAATAAGTTGTATTTCAAGAATGGCATCTAATGGCATCTAATCAATACCAACTTCTTCACTTAGACTGCCTTACCAAGCTTTATGATCAATATAATAATGGCATCTAATCAATACCAACTTTGCCTCCACTCAACTGTGACATTGAAGGCTATAACCTGCATTGCCAGCATCCATCTACTGCCTTACCCTCTCACCTGCTTCACCTCAAAGCCTTATTAGTTGTGTTTCAAGAATATGTCTATCCTGGCCTTTTTAATTTACACTAGATGCATTTCATGTTGCAGGTGCGCAAGTTCAGCAAACACTGCAGAAGTTGTGATAAATGTGTGGATGGATTTGATCACCATTGTCGAGTATAGTCTGGACTGTTCCTTGTGCTATCTGCAGAACAGATCTTAGCTAAGATGTTTGTAATATTGTCGTGGAAACTAATTGCATCATATTCAATTGTTGCAGTGGCTCAACAACTGTGTAGGGAGAAAAAACTACCTAACTTTCATTTCTCTTACGGCCACTAGTCTCGTTTAGGTATGTTTTAGAAATAAATCTCTTGAACTACTAGGATTAGAAACATATGAACCTTAGAAAATTCCCTTGACAAATAGGATAAGAAACATATGAACCTTAGTAAATTTTAAGAAACATATGGCCTGCACGGACAGTTTTCACATGCCAAATATGACTTGTGACAACTGACGGAATATTATTCGGGCCTATAGGTTGGGATTTAAAGCCGAATACGCCCAAAACTTAGTCGAAAAATGGCGTTTCAGGGGCGAAAATTCAAAAGAGTCCCCGAACCTCCGTGTGGCCAAAACGAATAGTTTTCCCATGCCAAATATGACTTGTGACAGCTGACGGAATATTATTCGGACCTATAGGTTAGGATGCAGAGACGAATACGCCCAAAACTTAGTCGGAAAAAGGCATTTCGGGGGCGAAACTTCAAAACATCCCCCGAACCTCCGTCTGACTCTCACTGGCAGCTTTCCCATTATAAATAGAACTTGTGACAACTGACGGAATGTTTTAAACTTGCTAATTTTGTGAACGTACACATGTGTGTTATTATTTTTATCACATGTTCTAATATCCTCTCTGAAATGGCATTGACATACATTAATAAGCACCGATGGTTTTGTGTATTTTTGGGTCCAATTCTAATATTTTTTTTTTGTTTTTTGGAGATAACTTCACTGCGTGGACTTGCAAAGATATTTTTGTGTATGGAGAAGAAATTGTACTTTTGTATAGAAGTAATAATATTTTTTGTCGTCTCCAGCCAAATGGTCATTTCACATGTTTATTCTGTATGTATTTGCCTGAAGTACCTCAATAAGTATTTTCCAACATCAATAATGGGAACATAATAACTAATACTTGTATGCAACTTTGCTTTTGGCCTTTTTTGGAGTATTCAAAGGAAGAAATGTGGGTGACATTATAGGGATACATATCAGCTAAGGTGTTACTAGAGTATTATTTCATTCTCTCTTTTTTGGTTAATTTGCTGCTGGGTGAGTTTTATATATTGATATATGTTTATTTTCTTAAATTTCTAAATTTCTTTAAGCCAACAAACCCGATTGAAGAAGCCTAATTGTTCTCTTCGGTTGTCCAATGACTACTGTGTTCATGAACTGCCCTTAACTCTTGGCTCTTTATTTTCTGCACTTCTTTAAGCTTCTTAATGTCCTTAATTTCCCACAATAAAAATTGAACAAGACTAGTCAATCTCTCCATTTGTCCTACGACTGCTATGTTGATGAAGAACAACCCCAAACTCATGGCCTTGTGCTACTAAGCTGTAAAGCTTTACCTAGTTTATACACCAAAGCAAATCCTACAGCTTCATGTATTTTCACCAACCAACGTAACAACATAAACTTATTACAATCAACCTTAAGATGGCCTTTTAACCACTGCCCTGAACCATAGTTACCAAATCTTGTACTAGAGGGTATTTCTTTGTTTTCATACTACACCTGGTAGAAGGCACAGTTCTTTAGTCGTGTAAAAGTTGTGATTTGTGAAGTTCTAGTCTCAATGATGAGCTCGGTGTGGAATTTGATTCTCCCTTCCTTTCTCCATAGGTTAAAAACTAAAAGTAAATAAAAATAAAAAAACACAGAAAAAGAAACCAAGCCCTATGTAGTTCCCTTCACCCATGCACTGTGGTTTTCCTTGGTGGTTGGGACATGCCTTGAATCAATGCTGCAGGTGGCTTTGAAAGTACTGCTTTAGAGTCAGCTACTAACCTTGGGAGTTATTGATGTTATTATTAATAACAAACTAGGTGTTTACTTAATTAGATTGAACTTACTTAGCAGTGTGCTTTATTAATCTTCTCTGATGTATTAATATCTGTTGTTGTGGTGTGAGCATCTCTAGAACATGTATATATATATATCCTATAGGTTTTTATCTTAATTGAGGGCGTAATGGTTTCATGTGAATGGTTGCATACAGCTCAGTTATTAGCTGATATTGAAATTGTACTTGATAAAGAAATCTATTACCTACGGATTTGTAAGGGTGGTTTTCAGCTTGATATCTCAAAATATGGTGACTTCTCGATCGAGAATGAGGATATATATATATTCTGACCTGTTTGTTTGATCATGACTTTGATTGCATATGCCATGCTTGGTCTTTGATTTTCTAGGCATTATAATATAACTGGGCCCATATGCCTTTTAACCAGGAAACTTTTGTGTTTAACTCAACCATTTATTGCATAAGAGAAATATTGTTTCTTATGCAATGTGAAAGAGCTTATACTTGCATTATATTCTCATTCAAAGATTTATATATTGACCTGAGCTCTTGGATGAGAACTTATATGAAAATTATTTGGTTTTGCTGGGTTGTTTATTTTGCTTGATAATTTAAATTAGGGAAAAAGCTTATGGTTTATTTTTGTTTTAAAAACTCAATTTTATTACCCTCTTTCCAGCTGGGAATCTGGGAAATTGAAATATTTAGAAGTTTCAAAAACTCATTTTACTCTTGGTTTCCATTTTGATATCTGGTAAAATGAAAAGGTCAGATGATCAAGAATGCTGCTGTTATTGGTTCTCTTTTCTTTTCTTTCCTTTTTTCATACATTCTCGGTTTTTTTTTCATTCTCCATTTTGATGGATCCACTACTTTTGAAAATGTGAAAATTGTTTTATTTTACTTATTTTTTCCCCTCCCACTACTGTTTCTTGGAAAGTTTTCAATGTACTTTTTTTCTAAAATTGTTCTTAATGCAATGAATTAAAATTGTTCTGTACGACTCATTTGAATCAGAAATGCTGACATAATTGAACTTATTGATGAAGAGTCTTGTACGCTTCATTCTAGTTGATTAAGGTGTGTGGGTGTGTGGATCTCTGAGAACTCTCAGGTATCACTTGTGTGTGTGCACGCATGTTGTTGTTGCCGCCTTATTATGGGTCCATGTTTGGATGTCTTGCATTAGTTAATAGATATTACTCTCCTCGTCATTTTAATGTTTGAAATTATTACGATATATATATGTCGTCCAGAAGTGCCTCTACACGATTATTATGATGATTTTTTTCCCCTTTTTTGCAGATGTTTTTGGACATACAAAAGTGGATATGTTTTTGTTGACAAGTACGTGAGGACATTGTGGTACAAAAGTGGATATGTTTTTATATAGTGGTTTGTACAAAATATTTTTTTGGTAGAGTAAATATCAGCTAATTTGGTAGAAATTAACATAGCACGTGGTACAAAATAGTTTTGTGGCAGTATAGAATATAATTTTTGTTATGGTACAGAAGTTATAGGTGTACAATTAATTTCGTTATTCCAGTATTATGTATGGAATTAAATTCTTGACGTGGGATTAGACATGGTTCTTATGAAATTTGTAATATATATATAAGTGGACGTTCAATATTAATTTTTTGGATGGTTGGAACTGAAATGTGTGCACGTTGTTGAATGCTTGATAACATATTTACCGTTGATGGATTATATTGTTTATACAGGGTACAGGTTGTATTAATAATAGATTTAGTGATGGATTAATTTGTACAGGTTGTTTATAGAAAATTTTATTTAAAAAAAAAAAAACACGTTAAAGTATTTGGCTACCAAATATTTTGGTAGCCAAATACGTAATAGTTATTCTCAAATTATTTGGCCACCAAATATTTTGGTCTATAATAGTTATTCTCAAATTATGGTAGCACTTTTAGTGACTAATTTTTTAGTGGTGGAAACATACCTTTTGCCGACTAAACACAAGTTAGTAGCCAAATGTGTACTTTCGGCGACTAATAATTTAGTAGCTAAAAGTGATACCTTTTGCCGACTAAATACAAGCTAGTAGCCAAATGTGTACTTTCGGCGACTAATAATTTAGTAGCTAAAAGTGATATCTTTTGCCGACTAAAAAGAAGTTAGTAGCCAAATGTAGTCATTCAGCGACTAATACATTAGGGGCGGAAAACATACCTTTTGCCGATTAAACACAAGTTAGTAGCCAAAGGTGGTCACTTTCGGCGACTAAAAAAATTTTAGTCGCCAATACTATCGCCGACAGGGTAAAGGCGACAAGCTTAGCGACAAAATATTATGGTCGCTAAATCGTTTCGGCGACTAAATATGTGACTTTTGGCGACCATTATTTTGGTAGCCAAAAGTGACATTTCTTATAGTGACTACACTTGCTGCATCAAAAGAAAGTTTCGCAAGATGCTTAACATCATGATATCTCTCGTCTTTTTTTTACTCTTTGATTTAAGTTTTGTAATTTGAATTATATTTTTTATAAACCGCCAATCAGCTCGAACCGCCAAGGCAAATCCGTCATTATTTGCCAACTGAACCGCCGATTTTTGATAAAGAAAATGACAAATTCTAATGACACTTTTATCAATCCGCCACCTGCCATACAATTTATATTTTTCTCTCAAACCGCACCGACCCCCACGGCGCACACCCCTAGCCACACCTATTGATAGATCTGTTTTCATTAACCATTCAACATTTTCATTTTGGGAACTCGGTTCCTAAATTTAAATTTGAGTTTTTGTTTAAAATATTATTATGTTTATACAGTAAAATTTAAATTTAAATTTGAAAGTGACTATTTTAATTAATTTTTTAAATTTTTATAAAAAAATATGTTAAAAAATAAAAGAATAATGTATTAATTAGTATACTAACAGAAGATGTTACATAATTTTAGAGATTTTAGATATTTGTAATTTGTATAATAGGTGAGGTCAATCATAATGTCATAACACTAGTTAGTGCACTAATTGGTACACTAGTTGGTGAATGTAGCATTACCGAAAATAAAAAGAGTGATGTGATTGTATGTTTTGATAATTTAGTTATAAAAAAATAACTAAGCCTTTGAGAACTTGGTGCTCATCGTCAATTTAATTAAGCCTGTAATATTTGATCGATGGCAGTTAACACAACACATGTCAATGTGGGTGCGCCTCTCTATCGACACGTTATCGTCTTTGACATGATAATTCTCTCTATTCCTCTTTGTGCGGAATTTAAGGCAACATCTGCTGCATACACATGCACATTAGTGAATGTCTATATGAATATTTAAATTGTTAACATCATAAAATAGTTAAACTTAAACCAATAGTTAAGGTTCACATCAAAATTGAACTATAATTAGAAGACCCTTCATTATTTGGAGGTTAGCTTGATGTGAATGTTCACAACATACCACACAAATAGGTAGATCCACAACAATCATGTAACAAATTTATTCACAACATAGGCCACTAAGACATCACCAACATATCACTGATTTCAAAATATGTCATATTAACAAGAACATAATTTCTCAACACAAAAGAAACATTTACATATTGTCTCAACAGCAACATTCACATAACTATATTAACCAAACCCATGTAACAATTATTTTAGCAATAAGAATAATGTGAATGTTCACACTAACGTTCACATGATCCATATTGTGAATAATGTTAAACTTTAGAAAAATCTAATTAAGCCATAATTATACCAACATAAAACCATTATGTGTTAAAATAAAAATGACTTGTATAGTGTCAACATGCACATAAATATATTGAATAATATGAATACTTATTCAAATTACTGAGAGTACAAAAATGAAAATAAACCTCATAATCAAACACCATATGATATGAATGTCCACAACCATTAACAGGGGGTGGTCAATTTAAGCCGACTATGAATATTCAGATCTAAACAACAATAACAATAGCAACAACAACAATAACAATTGAAACAAATGAGTTGGTCCACAATTGTGTTTTTCATATGAATGTTCACTACCATTAATAACAACTGTTATTGTAATTTTTTTTATGAAAAAAATCATATAATTGGGAGTGAGGGGTTCACATGCAATCATGAATAGTATTAATAACAACAATCGCACGATTAAGGAAATAACAACAATAATATGAGCTTCCTCACAATATATGAATAGAATCAAGGGATATGTGTATAAATCCACATTGGTGCAAATTCAGAAAGAGTTTAGGGTTTGTACAGAAAATAGGTGATGAATACTTACGTTTGGTGACCATTTCGATGGTTTGGTTGCCACGTGTGGTCGACAATGGTGAATCTGGCGAAGATGGAGATGATAATGGCAATTTTGACAAAGAACGGCATGGAGACGATGAACATCGCGATGAGACAATGAGAGGGAAAATATGGGATTGATGACTAGGGTTTAGGGTTTTGAAAGGTTGAGAGATCTTCTCCACGATTTTCTAGAAGAGAAAGAGAGAGATAGACGGTTATTTGGTTCAAAGATAATGAACATGGGTTTTGGCTTGAGGGATTTTTGGTCTTTTTATAATAATGAGGACCTAATGGAATAATCTAAAATATTTTAGATTGTATAAAATAGAATTCTTAGAAAATGAATTTACTAGAAAAATTCCCAAAACAATTTTTTTTAAAAAAAAACACCCACACGGACCTTAATTACACAAGAAGTTGCGCCAAGAAATTCCACTTTACAAAGTCATTCTTGGATCTTCCTTTCAAAAGTGGGCCAGGCTAGGCCCAAGGGTTGCAGGCTGCGACTTGTGGCCTTCTACAACTCAGCCCCAGGTGATTCTAATACTAGGTCCAATAACTTCATTGTTGTCAAATCTCCAAGGCTATGGCCCTGTTTGGTAGACCTGCGAAAAAGTAATTATAAATTATAACTTGATAGATTATAATTTATACCTTTAAACATAAGCTGTTAACTTGTTTGGTGCAGCTGTAAGATTATGAATTTAAGCAACAGGAGTAGTGTTTAGTTAATAAGTTGCAAAATAATTTTTTACTGTGTAACTGTTATTTTTACCCTTATATAATATAAAAAATGATTATTTTGTCATTTTTTTCAGTTTTAATTTTAAAAAATTATTTCATTAATAAAATTTAATATAATTAGTATTACAAAAATTATCATTTCATTAATAGTATCAATTAGCATAAAATTATTTTATTTTTTCATTATAAATTAATTAGTCGCAATTAATTGCTTAATAAGCTTCAATTAATACTAAAATTATAAATAGTTTCAATTAGTATAAAATTATTAATTTTTTCGTTATAAATTAATTAGTGTCAATTAATGGCTTAATTAGCATTAATTAATACTAAAATTATTAATAGTATCAATTAGTATAAAACTATTTCATTTTTTTCATTATAAATTAATTAGTGGCAATTAATGGCTTAATTAGCATCAATTAATACTAAAATTATTAATAGTATTAATTAGTATAAAATTATTTCATTTTTTTCATTTTAAATTAATTAGTGTCAACTAATGGCTTTATTAGCATCAATTAATACTAAAATTGTTAATAGTATCAATTAGTATAAAATTATTTCATTTTTTTTCATTATAAATTAATTAGCATAAATTAATACTAAAATTATTAATAGTATCAATTAGTATAAAATTATTTCATTTTTTTCATTATAAATTAATTAGTGTCAATTAATGGCTTAATTAGCATCAATTAATACTAAAATTATTATAGTATCAATTAGTATAAAATTATTTCATTTTTTTTGTTATAAATTAATTAGTGTCAATTAATGGCTTAATTAGCATCAATTAATACTAAAATTATTAATAGTATCAATTAGTATAAAATTATTTCATTTTTTTCATTATAAATTAATTAGTGGCAATTAATGACTTAATTAGCATCAATTAATACTAAAATTATTAATAGTATCAATTAGTATAAAATTATTTCTTTTTTTCATTATAAATTAATTAGAGTGTCAATTAATGGCTTAATTAGCATTAATTAATACTAAAATTATTAATTAGTATCAATTAATATAAAATTTATTTTATTAATGACTAAAATGCTTAATTATTATTATTTATTAAAAAAACACTGAAAACCCCCAAAAAAAAAAAAAAAATTGAAACCCTAGCTCCGGTAGTCACAACGGCGCTAGGGTTTGAGATCGCTTCGCACGGCCGATCGCAATGGGGGACGATGACAGAGGCCAAGATCTTCATCTTCATCTTCATCTTCATCTTCTAGGCCAGATCTTCATCTTCTTGTCTTTTCCATTAAGAGTGACAATCACAGCTCCAGAGAGGCTCGCGGTGGCGAAGGGCGACGGAAACCTAGCTTTCAACATGGTGGTGTCGAAATCTGAGAGAGAGAGAGAGAGGGAGAGAGCTAGGGTTCGCTAGAAATCACCTCTCTTGCCGGAAATCGCCTTTCTGGTTCGTGCGAGAGACAGAAATGAGTGAGTTTGGTTTATATACATGGCACACTTGTAATAACTTGAAAGTAGGAGAGGCATTTAAGTCATTTTGCCTCTCAAATTTTAGCTATGCGCTTAAGCTGAATTCCAAAAACACCTTTCACACTCAAAGAATAATCACTTTTTTTACTTTATTTAAGCTAAAAGTTGATCACTTAAGCTACACCAAACACACAAAAATCACTTAATTTAAGCTAAAAGCTGAAATAAACTGGATTTAAGTTCTACCAAATACCCCCAATAGTACAGTGGAATTGACTGAGAAAATTATTAGTATGGTTGTATTAGGTTGGAGATATAGAATAAAAAGTGTTTGTTTATACACCACTGGATTAGTAATACTATAGATAGTATTAATATATAAAATTAAATTTTTTAAGTTTTAGTATTTTTTTTATTCTAAAAAATATAATTTTTGCTTAAAAATCATTTAAAATTTCACTAATCCCCTCAATTTATAATCTCAACCCTACCATGGCTTGTTAATCCTACCACATGAAGGGATTACTAGTCCAAGGAGATAGTTAATCCCCACTTATGTTCCCAATCAAATATTCTTTAGGTGAGTGCCATGGACTATTAATCTAATTCTCCTTCCCAAAGGGCGAAACAAACATAGCCTAAAGGTCTTGTTTGGTATGTCTTGTGAGAAATAATTTTTGAAAAACAATTTAAAAATTTTGTTTGGTTGAAAATTTTTGAAAAAAAATTCAAAATTACTTTTCTCTCTACTATAAATTAATTAATCCAAGGCGATAGTTAATCCCCACTCATGTTCCCAACCAAATATTCTTTAGGTGAATCCCACGAATTATTAATCCAATCCTCCTTCCCAAAAAGCCAAACAAACATAGCCTAAAGGTCTTGTTTGGTTTGTTTTGTGAGAGATAATTTTTTAAAAACAATTTAAAAATTTTGTTTGGTTGAAAATTTTTGAAAAAAACTTCAAAATCACTTTTCTCTCTACCATAAATTAATTAATCACTTTTTCTCTCATCTCTTATCTCACATCTTACACATTTATCAATTATTTTTTCTCTCATACACATTTATTCAATTACCAAAAAAAAAAAAAATTAAATCATCTCTGCAGACTTCCAAAACTATTTTTAAAACATACAACCAAACAAGCTTTTAAATCTTATTGAAAATTATTTTTCAAAATTATTTCAAAAATACCAAACAAACATGACCAAAATGTCTCATTCAATCATATTTATCTCACATACTACATAAATAAGAATAATTTTTTATAGGGTAAATTACAAATACACCTCCTGAGATTTGATTAAAATACAAATCGCCCAATGTGATTTTGAAAACTACATTTCACTCTCCCTAAGGTTTCTAATTTCATAACAAATCGTCATTTTTATTAATAAATTATCAAGTCAATTACTAACAGTTTTTAATGATATTAGAAATATATTTTAATTAATAATTTAGGTAATTTTATTATTGTATAGGAAAGTAATTACAAATTTCATTTTTTTAGTTAATTCTATTAAATAAAAAAATACTAACATTGAGGTATTTGTAATTTTCCAAATTATAGGAGCAATCTGTACTTTGAACAAATTTCAAAAGGTATATTTATAATTTACTCTTTTTTTATATAATATATAAATATATTGCAAAGAATAAACTACTAAATCAGATAACTAATGACATGAAAAATTATCTTTAAAAAAACTTACAAATTGATTCAATAAAGTTAATATAAATTCATTAAAATTTCAACAATAAAGCCTCAGACCCCCATTGGGGGTGACCCAGAGCCCTCAGTGGGGTGTGATTGGTTAATTTTTATTTATTTATTTATTTTGATCCAATGACCAACCCCCCACGTGTGTGGGGGGTGGTGGGGGTGCTTGGAGACTTGGAGGTCTCAAGCACGGCTCAAATTTCAAATATTCCAACACATAAGAAAAAAAAAAATTTAAAATAACAAAAGATAAATGATATCTCGTTGGAAATATTAAAAAACATGACAAGTTTTTTTCCCCTCAGTCGAGCCTAATTGCTTTGATATGAGTAATCCCAAATATACTTATCATGGTCCTGGGGTCCTAAACTAAAACAATATGTTTGCAACAGTAATTTAATTTTTTTTTTTATAGCAAAAAGAGTATTTATTTATATTTGGGACTCCGGACTTTACAAGGACACAGTTCATGATTGTAAAATGAGTGTTGGCCAAATTGATGGTGAAAAAAATTGTTAATGGGGTCAAAGGTGAAGAAGAAGGTAAAAACTAATTAATCGTGCCATATGAATTGAATAGGATGATTCAAGTCACTAATGATACGAATCATACCATTCTAACAACACTGCTCGTGATTGTCATTTCGAGCATTAGACTAACCGTGCCATCATCACAAGAAGTGGCAACAACAATCATTTTTAGTGTTAACCATGCCATCATCGCCTATTTAAATTCTTCCCAATTGTTGATACGGAAAGGATCAAGAATTTACCTGGCGCAAGACACGGGATGATGAGAAATCCCATATAAGGATCTTCAACGAGGAATATTCCAATGTGATGTTGATTCCTTTACAAAACCTGTACCATTCATGGCGAATGCTAAAACATACAAAATACACAACACAATCCTATAATTAGAAGCATGTAATAAAGTAAAAAGATATAATATATTTCATAATCATAAAATTTGGAACATTACGAAAGCAGAGTTAAATTAAAACAAAAATGTTACAACATTAATTCCATTTGAATCTGTAGGCCATACTGCATTTGACGAAGAGTAATTAAAAAATAATGAGCAGCATATGGCCATCTGAAGAGCAACAACCTATAGGTGCCAACAAGACTATGCACCTCCCCCAGCGTCTCAAGATAGATTAAGTGTGCTCTGTAATTTTTATTAGCTTTGGAAATAATTTTCTCCAAAGGAAAGCCAACAGAAACAGTTGTCAAGCAGCCAAATGGGTTGGAGTAACTGATGTCCAAAAAGGAAATGGAATCAACATCAAACTTCATCCCTGTGAAGTAGATGAGGCAAACCTGATCACCAGTTTCATTGTTAATCACCAATTGGCAACAGATTGCCATTGTGAATTTTCATTTCTTAGATTGCAGTTGTTTAGTTGTCAGCAATGGGTTGTTCATTGGGCCAGATTTCCCCAATATATTTAGAGCCTTCATCCGTTGCATCTGTTTCCCTGCAATAGAGCGGAAAAAATAAAAACAAAACTTAATGACAATAGCTTTCCATTAGTTCATTACCATTGGTTGCCAAAACTAATTAAAACAGTAAATCATTTCAATTTCATGAGATAGATGACATGGAAGAAAAAAGCCCAATAAAAGAATAAATGACAACTACAGTTTTGAACAGTGACAAGAGAACCAGCCTTAGCAAACAATTTTGCCTAACTTGTAAACTGATTTACACTTAATTTGTCATTATGTGTAACTTGCCTTTAGAGTAAAACTCTCCAATCCTAGCATAGATTTATGAACACGTTGCTCTTGAGAAGAAAAACTAAACATGGATGAATTTGAAAAGAAATGTTCAGCCACCAATAAAGTACATTGTTGTTTCAGAACAGTCCAAAAGAGTCTAATTTCTATGCTATGAAGAAGTATCAACCCTAACTTGGACGTTTTGATTCTAACACTCCTTTGGGATCTAGAGACCTTTCTTCCCTATCAATCAATAGCTTAGCAACAAATATTTGTCTCACATTTGAGTTTCTTCTACTTGGAAGAACTGATAGGAGGCAAAGCCATTGAATGCTGTTCACAGTTTTAATTATTTATCAAATTTTACACCTTAGAAACATAATATTTCAAACCACTCAGGAACATCCCTTTCCTAGAAGAAGTCTATTATTGAAAAACTGACATAGATTTATTCATGAAGAGAAGGCAACAAACGTAAGAACAGGTGACAACTTCTTACCTTCTTCCACCGTTAGCTGTATTGCTTTTTTCTCCAACTCAACTGCGTGTCTACTAAGTTCAGCCGGCGACAAATTTAGAAGCACTAACAAGGTCATGGAGAACAAACAGTAAAATTGAAGTGTCAAAATAATATAGGCAAAACGTAGAAATATTATTAACTATCTCTAAAATTAGGCAAGGAATTACTCTGGATATAATCCCTTTGATTAGACTCGTCGCACTGCTTCAAGACCTTCTGCAAATGAATAAACCGTTCTGTTTTTTGTTGATCACTGGTAGCCTTAGAATCAGTTGAATGACAGACCTCTGAGTTGACCTCAATGGGAACTGGAGATCCACCACACATAAAGTTCATCATTGAAGCCATATGATTTGGTCTAACTACAGGAGAACAAAACAAATTGCTCTCCTTCATCTGAGTCTGCTGTCGAGGTAATTCCTGTTGCTTGTGGCAAGAATGCTTTGAGCTCGATTGACGGTTATCAGCACTTTTGTCCGTACTGTCCTGAATTTTTTTGCCTGGTTCTGAATCAAACTTTCTTCGATCATTCACGAAATGATCTTTTACACCATTTTTGCTCGAGGAAGGGCCAAAAGGGGGGCTTAAAGGGCACTCAGGTGCGAGTCTCTTAGTTCCAGAAACCTTGATTGCATCTGTGATGGATTTTCCACCCAGAATGGGGGAATTTTCTGGATGATTACGTATCAAAGTTCTATTATCATTCTGGACATCTCTCAGTGCTATCTTTCTTAGTAGCGGTGACTGTTTATGGTCAGAAGGCATGCCAGCCCCACTGTTGCCCATCACATTGCTGTTTACTTCAGAATTAAGCATTATGGAACAAATATTTCTAACTCAACTTAGAGAAAATTGCAAAGCCCTTCAAGCACAAGCACAAGCACAAGCCGTAAGATAAAATCAACAAGCCCCTCCGTGCAACCAAGTATCTCCTAAAACAAATGTCAGAGACACGTAAGTAACATAAATACACATACAGGTTTTACTAGATACTGGTCATTGTAGGCTGTGTCCATAAATATACATCCTCAAGACGTGCCAATAAACCAAAGATACAACATAAAAATATGGTTCAGAATATAGAAAGTATGCAAAATCAAAATATTAATGTTCCAGCTGATACTCAATCACAAAGCCTCTCAAACCCATAAATCTGGCACTTTCATAAGTTAATTATCATTTCTAGATACTAAGAAATTACAGTTCTGAGTACAACTATTCACCGGCACTTTTCTTGCATACTTTTTTCACGAGAAAAGACAAATTGTAATGATTAAAATTCAGTCAGCCAATACGTGACACGATTCCATCTAATATCTAAATTTTTTTCCGTAAATACAACAACACAAAGAAATATAGGTTTCAAACACCTCAAATTGCCCTAAAATCTATTAACCCAGGCAGGGAAGATCTGGAACAATTGTGACAATCATCAACCACATCCAAAGCCTCAAAGAAAACAACTTGTTCAAGCAAATCAGAGGAAGATGAACAAGTTCCCCAAATTGAACCACTTAACTGGAATTACCTCCAATTGTTAGAATAAAAACAACTTTACACTCCCAGATTAACACTAAATACCACTGAAAATTTCTCATTTTTTCCAGTGCTTGACACAATCGGAAAATCGAAACGACGAAAGATCCAAAATTTCTCATTTTCTCCGTACTTACAACGCAAGATCCATAATTATACATTTATACAGATAGAGATAAGCAAAAAATATTTACATTTTTGGGGATAAAAAAACAGAATTCTGAACGGACATAGATATCGAAGATAGAGAGCACTTGGATGGAGACTTACCCTTCAGTATCAGAGCGAGTTCGCAAACGATGAGGGAGGAGAGAGAAATAGAGACGGCGCGAGAGAGAGCGAAAGAGAGTTTTTTTCAAAAGGGGAGGCTTTGGCTCCAAAGGAGAGAAATGCCAACAAGTCATTTTATATGATTATTATATATGCTTTTATTTTATTTAGAAAATAAAAAATTTAAATTTAAATTAAATTGGGCTGGAAATCTGAGAGTGGGCCTGTTTATATATGTTTGACACAGCCCAAGTGTAGACTGGCCCATGTTAAAGTTGGGCCTGGATCACCAAAACTAAAACCTTAGAGCATCTCCAACGGTTCATCAAAATTTTCATCAAATCTGAGTAAAAAAGTGACTTTTTTCTCATTCTGATACGGAGGGCTCCAATGGTTCATCAAATCAAATTTTCATCAAATTTGCGACGGGACAATTGGTTGGTCGACCGGTGAAGGCAATTTTTTTTTTTGAATTGTTTGAACCTTTAGTGGTCGATCGGTTGGTTAACCAGCTGGTCGACCGGTTGGTTTCCCCCAACGGTAAGGAACAGTGATTTGGTGAAATGCTGCGCCTATTCTCATTTTGGTGAAAGGTTTGATGAATTCTCGATTTGATATCGATTTGGTGAAATCGTTGGAGCTCAAAAAAGTGGCTTTTTCACCAAATTTTAAATTTGATGCCAGATTTGGTGAAACGTTGGAGATGGTCTTACACATGCAATATCACACCATGTGTGTATGTATGTTCAATTCAAATCTTTCAAGTCTATTGCAGGCTTCCAAGTTCCATCCACGTTCAAGCGATCTCTAATCTCCAATGAAGCATTATCAAAATGGCATCTTGATGCCTAAATTTTGATAGTGTTACATAGGGTTTACGTTTTAGCTTAGTTCATTTGTTACATAAAAATAAATTAACAAAAGCTCAATTTTTAGGATTATTTAGCAATCAAGCCGAATTTTGGTAGATCTGCTCGATAAGGCTTGATGCACATAAATAGCACATGTCTAGCCTGCCAAAGCAACCTTACCCGAAAATTTGGCTTTAGGCCAAAACCAATAGTCTAGCCTAGCGACCAACTGAACAGGAGGGTCGAATAGTAGCCAAGCAGGGATGGCCTAGGATAAGGGCATGTGATGGGGTCTAGAGTTGTCCCATGTTCATAATTGCTTGCCAACATTCAAGGAACTACTCAAATGGAAGGTGTCGCGTGGTGTCCCCTAATTAGGCCAAGCGTAGAACCACTCTCATCGCTTGCCAACAATCATGTAACTACTCAAATGGAAGGTGTCGTATGGTGTCCCCTAATTAGGCCAAGCTTAATAGAACCACTCTCACAAGTCACATAGAAGACACTTCTAAAAGATATGGACCACGGGAGTAATATAAGGGAAGTAGGCCATATGAGAAGGTACCCAATCTAATTCCTAAAACCCTAATTTTCCATTGTTTTCTTCCAAAAAGTATTCTCTAACTTGAATATCAAAGGGCCCTTGATAAAACATCTACTGGTGTGTCCAAATGAATAATTTTGCAGGAAACAAAAAAAGAAGGATCAACCTCTCCCCACATAGCCAACCTCCATTCACCCTGTATCATAAGGCAGCCATTTACTTATGATCGAAGTTCGTAAACACAAGTATATAAATTAATATTCGATAATAATATATCAAATATATTTTCTTAATTTATTTATTTCTTTATTTGTATGTGGTATTTGTGCAAGTTTATGAATTTGATTGTCGAGGTTTATTATTCATATAAGCATCATGCTTTTATATTTTCTTTATAATTTTGTATTTTTTCTTTTAAAATCAAAGTTGAGCTTTAGTTTTTCAAATATTTGACGAGCTAAGCTTGAGCTCAAATTTTTGAGCTTGACTTAAGCTCAGCTTGAGCTCAACTAATTTCTAGCAAGGCAAGATCGAATATCCTAAAGTTTGGCTTGACTTAGCTCGTTTACACCCAGTACTAATATGTCATAATTTGGCAACCATGCTTCAATTGTGTAAATGTCATTTGTTCTATTTCTTCCACAAAAAACCCATTACAAATGGCATTTGCTGGCCTATTATGTAGAGACAACGGTTCTTGCTAAATTGTGACAATTGTCAAATCTTGTCCTAATTTTGGCACAAGATTTTGCAATTGCCAAAATTTGACAGCCCAATGGAGAGCGACAATTTTAGTGTTATGCCCAAATTTGACTTTGACAACCCCTCACAAGTTGTGTTGGAGAAGCTTTAATTGTTTGAAAAAATGGCAGCGAAGCTTCATTAATGGCCTACAGTTAAAAGGCCCATCACCAATGTTTTGTTGTCATCTATATTATTATATAAAGCACACAATTCAAAACTTGAAGCTTTGCCACGGTTTTTTGTTTTATAAGAATGTGTAGAAATTTAATGTATAAAGAGAAATGATTGTATTATTGATTGTTGTATTGATCTAAATTACAATGATTCATGATTCCTATATATAGAAGAGGGTGAGTGTGTAGTAGGTAAGGAGTAGGTGAAGTGGAGGTGGTAGTGGTGTAGTGGGTTAGGTTTAGTGGAGTAGGTGAGGTGGTAGTGGTGTAGTGGGTTAGGTTTAGTGGAGTAGGTGAGGTGGTAGTGGTGTAGTGGGTTAGGTTTAGTGTGTAGTAGGTAAGGAGTAGGTGAAGTGGAGGTGGTAGTGGTGTAGTGGGTTAGGTTTAGTGGAGTAGGTGAGGTGGTAGTGGTGTAGTGGGTTAGGTTTAGTGGAGTAGGTGAGGTGGTAAAGATGGGAAATTCTAACAGCAGAATGATCATAAAAATGTTTACTGTTTAAACTCCAATAACTAACTGTTAAACAGTTTTCAAATTTAACCCAACCATCCAAAAGTATAGATTTACAACGGCAAACACATTGAGTTTTCAAACATCACTACCTTGATCCCATCAAAGCTACTGGTCTGATTCCAATTTGAACATAAAGATATGGAGAACCGAGGCTTTGCAAGTAAGGATTGATCACTTCGAATTCTTAAGAACATAGACACTTGAGGCTTGAAGAACATAATTCATTTCATTTCATTTCATGGCACACAAATCTGGAGATGTATTTTTCTTTTTTATTGACATAACAAAACCAGGTCTTAAACCCTTTTACAAGCCATGTAGTGAGGCAAAGATTCTCAAAAAACCAGCACGATAGAAGTCATACTGTGTAAATGCTGACAAAAAAAACCAGATCTAATGGTTTTTATCAGGTTTTTTGTGGACAACAATAAATTTTTTCATGTCAGCATAAACATTCCTAACTGCCTGACAAAATCTTCAATATGGACGAGTTTTCATCAATGTCCAATCAGATATAATGCTCAGAACATATTAAAAATGCAAATGGTTTATCATCAATTTTTGTAATGCTTCAACCTCATACATAGTGCTTTGTAAACTTGATCTCACATATTTTAGAAAGCAAAAGCAGCACGAATGCATCGCAACAGTTATGTAGAATTTTTGCTACACATTAAAGAAGATGCTAATACATATAACAATTTCGTCCAAAAGAAGACGGCAAGGAGAAGGGAAAAAAACAATATATTTGGACAGGATTCACAAAGATCAACTGCGACTAAGTAGTAAATTACACAATCAATTACCAACAATTTTTATCATTCCAGCAAACACGAGGTAGATTACAAATCAGATTGCCGTCATTAACCCTTAAGGGATTTGTTCAGATTTACTCATGAGCTGCAAAATTGAATCCGCTTTTCTTTGACCTCTATTAGTCCCATTCTTCGAAAGGTCAACCACGTCGGCATACACACCATACTGAAGAGCAGCCAACATGAGATTCGTATTCCTTGAACCCAACTCAAGAAGCAGCGCTGCTGAACATTCCTTATTCTTGGGGGTCCCATCTTTGATGAAATCAACAAGCGTTCCAATAACTGAGAGCTGTCCAATATCTCTCCTCCCATCTACGTGCGATGCAAGAAGTAGCAACAATGAGAGGGACTCATTAACCATGTCCAAATTGTTGTCCTTAAGTAATTGAAGTAAAGGTGCAACAATCCCAGCCTCAATGGCCCTAGCCTTATTCGCTTGGCTTAGCGATAAGTTAAATAAAGCAGTGACAGCGTCTTTTTTACCTCTAATTGTCCCATTCTGTAACAATTCAACCAATGGTGGGATACCATTTGATAACCCAATAATCGCTTTGTTCTCATCAAGCATCGATAAGCTGAATAAAGCTGCTGCTGAGTTCTCTTTGGCCCCTATAGTTCCGTTCTTCAAGATCTCGACAATGGATGGAATGGGTTCTTCTCTAGATATGAGTTTCTTGTTTGATTCATCAATTGACAAATTTAATAGAGCTGTCACGGCATGTTCTTGAATTTTAGAATCTGGGTAGGAAAGGAGTTGAACTAATGGTGGTATTCCACCGCCGTTGGCTATTAAAATTCTGCTCTCTGGACTCTCTTTGGAGACCATACGGATCTTCCTCACAGCCTTTCTCTGCTCTTCTAACTTATTGGAGGATAAGTTTCGAACCATGGATGAGATCTCATCGTTGGGTTCCATAGTGGAGCTCTCCAAGTTTGCAGGATCCTCTTGTTTTGGAAGAGGAAATTTGTTCTTCTCACACCACTGCAAAATTAAATTCCGGAGAGCAAAGTTTGGTGCTAGTGACAAGTGAGCCAAAAGTTGCCCGCTTTTCGGGCAGGTTCGATGATCAGAATCCAACCACTTCTGTATGCTTTCTCTTTCATATGTCTGCAATGGATGACAATTAAAACCAGAAGTTAGTATAGAATTTGTGTAAAATTAAGAAAACTAACATCCTACTTAGTGCTCAATAAAATATGGGAGATAGATCAGAAGAATCTGCTGAAAAAGAAAACATGAGGCGAATTTGCCTTGTCTAGGACTTTTAGCTCTTAAATTATGTCAAATTTCTTTACTTTCTACATCCATCTTGAGTAGAGAATTCTATTTTTTTATTTTATTTTTAAATTCCAAATAGAGAAGTAAGACAATTTTTATAAGGTTTTTTTAATATAAATTTTGGCTAATTTTCGTCTTTAATGGACTTTTTTCAAAATTGACTCACCTTTTTTCTAGTCAAGATGGACATAAAAAGTAGAAAAAGAATTGGCTCCAAGTTGAAAAAAGTTCAAAAAAGACAAAAATATTGTAAAAAATAAGTTGACATTTTAGTTTTATCCACATGAATATTTAAGCAGTGAAGAAAAGATTTGTATTGCCACATATGGGTTTACCTGTCCAGTTGCAACAATAACGGGGTGTGTCATTATTTCTAGTGTAATGGGACACAGAAATTCATTAGGGATTGCCAGAGATGGGCACTTTGCAAGAGCTTTAGGCACAGCAGGATCATCATGAACACCGGTGTCTTCAACTCCTGCAATTTGTTTGCATTTGCTCAAAAGATTGATGATTTGCTGGTTAGCTTCTGTATTTTGTGCTCTTTCTTTAACAAGCTTCCTTACAGCTATTGTTTCCGCCCTTAGGTCCTCAATGGTATGTAAAGCGAGCTTGTTTGCAAGCCTTTCTATGCTGGCACTGTCTGCATTCCTTTCATCCGTTGTCGATAACAATACCATCATATCCATTGCCAGTTCCATATCCTGAGTATCGGTTCGCTTCTTTGCTCTTCTAAGTTGCATACGCATTAGCTCAACCTGGAAAATTAGTTAAAATTATATTTCAAGCCAAATGAATATTAGTTAAATTGCAGAAATATTAGCCAATTTTCTACATGTCAACCTATTAGCAACTGAACCCTAAACAGTCCCATAATTTTCTACATGCCAACCTACATGTCAGCCAATTTTCTACACAGTTGGTTCTTCTATTTTGGGATAAAGCCCATAATCTTTGTATAACATTTGCATACAGTTGGTTATTCTATTTTTGGACAAAGCCACATAATCTTTATACAAACTTTGCATAGTTTTTTTTGTTAACCAACTTCAAACTTCTCTGCTCATATATTTCTCGAAGCACTCTCGTCGTTTGAGACAATGGAATTCTTGAAACACACAATAACATACTTATTGTAAAAATTATATGTTCGACAATGAACTTGATCAATAATAAATTCTAGTTCATTATTTTAAATTCACATGCCTCTAGGCCTTGGGTTGGGTGATAAATAGGTACAATAGGGTTAGGATATGTTAGCTTCAATTTTGCCTAACACCAGTTTACCACATTCTCAAAAAAAAGGGTAGAGCATGCAATAAAAAGAAGAAACAAAACCAAGATAACAACATCATTATCAATTCATATTAAGCTAATAATAATGTGAGAGGAAAGCATACTTGTTCTTTCACTTCCTCTGAAATGCCAATTTCTGTATATGGCATACCCTCCAAAGCTTGATTCAATTTTTCATAAACGGAATGAAATCTGATCATGAAATCCTCGCTCTCTAGTGCCTGAATTAGAAAAGCAACAGGTCTATGAGATCAAAAATCAAGAATTTCTAATTCGTTTATGCTGTTTTTGATCTTGTCTGATGGAAAAGAAATGGGAACACAAAAATAAAATAAAATGAAAAAGCTTCTACTTCTTCACTTTTCCCATTTACCCTCAGTTTATTTGGGCGAAAAACAGTTTTTGTAAAAAAAAAAAAAAAAAAAAAAAAAAAAAAAAAACCATCTTTTTTAGTGTTTGGCATGCTAGAAAACGAAAATCAATGGAAAATGTTGACTTATTTGGGCAAACAAATGTTGTAGAAACGTTTTCAAACTAAACTCTCACCACCACCACCATTACCCCACACCACAACCACCACCACTAGCACATAAATTTCAAAGTTGCAGCTAAACATAAATATAAAAAAAAAAACATTTTCTGCACAAAAAAAAAAAAAAAAAGAAAAATTCTGGAAAAAAAATTCAATAAGAAAATACTTTATGTCAAAACAAACGGAGTGCTATTTTCCCTAAAAAATTCGAACATCGAAACACAGCCTTAGATGCATAGAAATCGATCATACCAGATAGATTTTGCTGCCCTCATTGCATATCTTCAACAATTTCTTCGCACAAAGGAAGGCCTTCTTCAAATTACACAAGCAAATCATACCCACCTCAGGCATTTGTGTATCGAGATCCCTAATCTCTTCCAAAAGCGGCAACAAGAGCTTCAATCGCCGCATGAGATTATAGGCCTCTTTCCTCTGCGTCCTTCGAAAATCTCCGATCGATTGGACAGAATCGACCAGAGCAATCAGTTCTTGAATCACATCCATCTTGCTTTCCGGGTTAATCGGATTTAATAAATTCTCTCCCTCCATAATCACTCCTTCTTCTCCTGCTTTCTCGTCCTCTCGAGCTGTCACCATTAGAAAGCTCTTGAACATTGCTTCTCTCTCTCTCTAATGGAGTCTTTTGGATTTGAATGTATGTATGCTCTGTTAATGGAATTGGGATTTTTTGGGATTCATTTGCAGGAGAGTGGTGGGGGTGAGGAGGGTTCAGGAGGAGGAGACGAAAACCCTAACCCTAATTACCATGGATGGAGATGAGTTTTTCTCTGTTTCTTGGTTTTTGGTACATTTTCCCGGGGTTTTCGGTATGAACAACACTTTTCGCGGCAATGGAGTTGGTTAATGATAGACAAAAAGAGATTTTGGAAGTTCGTTATTTTCAAGGAAAATTTCTAATTTTACATTTCTAGTAAAAAGGCTTATAATTTTATATTTTTTGAGTTATAATTATAAAAAAAATATTATAATTAAATACAAAAGATTCATAACTAAGTATTTCAAAATAAGTTTATAACTAAATAAAAAAATTAATCATAATTAAAAAAAATAACGTAATTAATGATGCATATGGTAAAAAAGTGTGTATAATAAAATTCTCTGATATATATACCTAATAAATAGATGTAGGAAAATTCTATTACATAAAAGATATATCATTTGGGTCGTATGCTGTCACTTTTTTATCTTCTAATAATATTTTGAGAAAATTGTTACTTAAAAAAATTAGGATTTAATCTTTATAATAAAATAAAATTTTAATTTCATCAATTTAAATTCTATTTTTTTTATTTTTTAGTCTAAATTATTTGACTATTTTCATTAAATAAAAATGATATTATAATCATTTAACTCAATGGAATAGAACCTTTTAGATATTTTATATACACCTATATTGAGTTTAATGATTAAAATTTTATTTTTCTGTTGACTTTATTTAATGAACATAGGTTGATAGTTTAAATTGAAAACAAATCAAAAGATTAGTGTCTAAATTGATAAAATTAAAAATTATTACTAAAGTCAAATTCTGAGGATTTTTTGTGTGTGTAATTTAACCTAATATTTTTTACGATAAGTTATATTGGTAGAGTTTGCATTTTTTCTCTTGTATCATTTTAGTACCTATAATTTTAATTAACTTAATTTTAACTTTTAGTTTTAGATTTTATGTTAATTTGGTCCAGCTAATAACGTCGATTAGACCAATGGGGGTTGGTCCAAGTGGAAAGGGACTTGGGTCGCTTAAGCAAAGGTCTTGAGTTCGAGCCTTTGTGGATGCAGCAAACCCCTTGGGAGAGGACCCCGCATATGCGCCTGGCAGCTTCCTCAGCGGATTAGTCCTGGATCCAAAAAACCTGGAGATACTGTGGGAGACCTAAAAAAAATAATATCGACTAAGGGTATTTTTTTTTTTTATCAGCAAAAAAAAATCTTTATTAATGAAGAAAACATACATTACACATGAAATTACATCAATAAAGATAAAAAAAAGACAAAAAGAAAAAGAGGAACAAAGCGCAATGTTGGTGAGAAACAACACTAGCTTAAACCAACACTTGTTGCCACCCAAAGATTAGCTTTACAATTGCTTATAACCCACAAGACCACTCTCACTTTAATTCCTCCACACTTAGCACACTATTGCCAATAGTAGAGCATTATACAATCTTGCTTCCAACTCTTGATACTTAAAGCCAAAGCATTATTCCCACAATCCTACCAATGACCCACAAACATAAAACTTCTTGATTCTACCTTTCTTCTTAGGCCTTCCCCTCATTGTTGGTTCTCTCTTTATCCTTTAGCTTTATCTCTGTAAATCAAAACAAACAGAACATGCAGCGGATAAAAATAATTGGATCATACCTTCTTGATGATAGAACCTCGTGGATAAATCACGTGCTTCCAGAAACTGATAAAACAACCCAGCAGTGGAGTGATATCACAGATTGAATATCACCCACACAACTTACAGTGCAAAGGACTTGATTGTTGTTTTTGGGAGAGAGACAGTATATGGGTAGAAACAGATCATACGTTGTTTCTCTCTTAATCACCCATAACCATATATCAGATATATAATATATTATTATAATCTATCCATATCAGTTAAAACTGATAATATCTATATCCTGGGTGGTTATCCTAAATAGGTTTGAATTCAATTTCAAAACCTATTTGGATAAGGTTCAAATTCAAATGGTCATGCCACATGGGCGACCATTACTAACATCTCCCACTCGCACATGAGTTGGCATGACACTGCCACATCTCTATCTCAATCTCCCCAAAAATGAACAATCTCATACTAGCCAATGCACCGTGCGACCGCTGAGAACACCTGTATGTGGGAGCTCTATACTAGAAACTCAATATGAGTCAGCATAGAGACATCAACCCAAAAAAAACAGAAATAGTGTCTCATGTACCCAGACCCATCTAGCTACATCAGTCCAAAAACATTTCTAATCCCTCAAAGAGCATGTTTAACTCTCCTAGGTCCCGCATTATATTCACACCCAATCAGCATCCTATAAAGAGCGATGTGAGTTGTCGACAGTGAATATAGAGCAGAGATGTAGAACTAGATGATCTTCCCTTCACCCTCATATCATTCAATTTAAATTGACCACTTTCCCAGTAATGTCCCTTAAAGCCGAATCATAAATGATCGCAGGCAACATACCAAAGTAGCTGAACATCAACTCCTCATCTTATGACATAGTCAAAGGTCACAAAAGGCACAAAGTGAAGTCATTTAGGGAAAAATGACTTTTAGGACTCACACGGTGAAGAAGCAGGGATCCATTCTTTCACCTCGCTAACGGGTCGATAAGCACATGCAGTATGAATGCATGTTATAGTGGAGTTACTCTTCCAAAGAGTGATGTTAAACTCACACACCATACAGATCTTAGTCTAGTCGCTCTTAAGCGCACGAGTCGCTTCCTAGCGTCTAACTCGAATTCTCTATTTGCTCGCCTCTCAGGCATCAAATGAGATCTCGCATAAAATTCAAAAGTCAAGGGGCACGTGACCCCCCTGAGCCCAACGTCGGTCCGCCACTATTTGTAGGTAATATGACAAAAATATTATTTTTAGTGACAAATACAATTGCATTTGGCTAAAAGTTACAATTGCAATGAAATTTCAAGTTTCCCAAAAGAGTTCGAAAATATACCGTCACTTAATGACGTTGCAAAAAAGTAATTTTTACAACAATAAAATCTATTTCTTAATATGCATCATTTGACCACCAAATAACATATCAATCAACAATTTATTAAATTGTGTTAACACATTGGCATGGTGTTTTCAAACGGACATGTGATATTTTGGATTTTTCGAAATTTATAATAATATTTTTATTTATTTTTTTGGTAAAAAAAACAAATAGGAATACTTACTAATTAGTCCCATTAAGTAAACTTAAATACCATTAACTCTTGACTTTTTAAATGCACCAATAAGTCTACCAATACTTATACTTACCAAGTTCTTTTATCATCTTTTCTCTTCTCTCTCTCTCTCCACCATTTTTCCAAAAGCTTTACACCACCATTATCTACCACCACCGCTGTCATCGCCGTCTACCCACTGTCACCACTGTCGTCGTTGTCCACCCACTACCACCACCGTCGTTATTTGGATGCCACCACTATTCACCAACTATCTCCACCATTGTCGCCGATGTACACTCTACCGTCACCAATCTACACTTTATTGTCGTAGATTTTGTTGGCTTATTTTTCCTACGAAGGAAAATATCATAAATGTGAGCGTGCCAGCAAGGATTGAAAAATCCTTACAGATTAAATTCAAGCCAATTATCAAGCGATTGTGTTGACGGTTCTTTTGCCTCAACGAAGAGGACTTCAAAATTGTCAAGTGTAAAGAAAAGAAAAAGTAAAAGAAGAAAGAGGGACGGAGAAAGACGATTGAGTGAACAATCAAAGTAATAATTACTTACCTCTACTCCTATGCTTCGAAAAGAAAGTACA